GAAAGCTTCGTCTCAGCGCCTCGGTGGCTCTCCAAGCTTGTAATCGCAGCACTTGTTGACAGGCCGAGACGGCGCCGGATCGACGACGGGTCAGGAGATCGGAGACTCATCCTGCTAACACGGGTGCGAAAACCGTGCGTCTTCCTGACTAAAAAAATACAAAAAGATTAGCTCCAGGCCGCCCCTGGCGGTGGCGGCGGCCCTGTGTGAAGCCCAGTCTACTGGGGGAGGCTGAGCAGTAGGCGAAATGGCGTTTACGCCTGGGGGCCGAGGACCTGAGCTTTGCAGTGAGCCGTGCGGATCGGCGCGCCACTCGCGACTCCAGCCTGGTGGCGACAGAGTGAGACTCCGTCTGTGCAAAAAAAAAGAAAGAAACTTCACTTCAAAAAAAAAAAAAAGAGGTGCGCGAGGAGAGCAGGTGGGAGGAGCAGCCACGTGATCCCGGGCTGGGATGGGAGCATCTGGGTAGGGTGGGAGATAAGATGTAAAGGATGTATTACAGTTCTCAAGGCTGAGATCCAGACTTTCCTGGCCGACTTCACGATTGTGGGGTGTCCCTGAAGCCCGCAGAGCTGCGCGCCTGATGCTGGATGCAGGGTGGTTCCCTGCAAGCCCAAGCCTGCCCTGGAGCTTGGTGCGGGTCCCCCTGGAAAGCCAGAGCCTGCCCCCTGAGCTACGGTGCGCAGGGCGCCGCGTCCATGGGGAGGTGGCATGCCAACAACTGTCACCGGAAATCTGGTCTGGTGCCTGTAGTTTGTTGGATGGCCCATGAGAGTGCTGTCGTCCGAGACCCGCAAAGGTACTGGTGAAGAGCGTTCCGTGGAAAAGGTGGGTGGAGCCCCAGGTGGGCACTCGCTGTACAAGCCGCTCTCCAAGGAAGGCTCTGCCTGGGGTGCTGAGGGGCTGTTATATTGAGGGCATACTCTAGGTACTTCTGCCTGCAAAAAGCTTGCCCAAGGTGTGCCTCCCTGGAGTCAGCCTGAAACAGAGACAAGCCAGAGACCAAGCCAGAGAAACCCCTTTTCTGCCTCCAGCCCCTCTACCGCAAAAACTCCACATTCGTGTCAGCTGGACAAAGGAAAATGTGGTTCTGTGTCCAGCTCAATTATTGCAGAGCAGGCAAAAACAAGGGCAGACTTGTGAGTCGAAAAGGCAGCTAAAATGAGAGCTGGCCATAATAGAGTGAAAAGAAATAAGTCATGGTATAGTTTTCTGACGAAAATTCCGTCTCAAAAAAAATACAAAAGTTCTGAGTTTTGTTGTTGTTTTTGTGTTTTAAAGTCATTCTGAGCAGAAAACTACTATTTTCTTTCCATTAACCTCACCTACAGGAAACCTACTTGTTTGGATCACAAAACAAGAACAAACATCTACTGTAGTAAATCCTACTTGTACACAAAGTACCCAGAAGAGATGGCTTTCTAAACAGTGGCTCTGCAAATTCAAAATTCTAAAGAGACACTAAGCTTCATACCACTCTATCCTACTTCTGCTGCCTGAATGTGTGGCAGGAGCTTAGGATAGGTCTGAACTAAAATTCTTCATCTAACTATTCCTTTCTAAACCGTCCACTACCTCCATCAGTCACAATGGCCACTAAATCTAAATTTATCACTGTAGGGAAGGATCACCAAGGACAAACTTGATGAGGAAGATTGTTGGGGTCACATGAGGATGAATTGGTGAGTATCTGAATTGTTCCTGGCTTGGTGTTCTGGCTTAGCTCCAGTTTCTTCCAACTAGTTCTCCAGCACCCCCAGTCCTCGTAACCCTCACAGTTATCACGTGATTAAGTATATACGAAAAAGCTGGTGCAACATTCACACACATGCGTCTATGAGTACATCCACGCTTGCAAGGTCGACTACCTGAGAACATCGAGGCCAGTGACACTGACAGTCCGTTCTTTGATATGTGAGTCAGGTTAGATCCTTCACTACCATCTGTGTAATAATGACGACAAAAGGGGGCCCTTTAGTATGTGTTCCTGGAATCAAAACCTGCCATTTGCTCCCAGACATGAAATGGCGTTTAGGAACTGACATCCTTGGGTAGGTGCTCACTCTAGCTTGGAGGAGAGTTACTGCTACTTCCTATGCCATGCCCAGCCTCAAGGACCTCCCATGGCAGTGGTTCTCAGCCACGGTGACTCAGGCAATGACGGAGGCATTTCTGATTGTCTCGATACTGGGGAGGGGTCGCCACCAGCCTCTAGTGGGTAGAGGCGAAGAATGATGCTAAACATCGTACAGTCCACAGCCCAATCCCTCATGGCAAAGAATGGTCTGGCCCACGGGTTGGAAAACCCTGGCCTAAGGTCTTTTCCTTTAAGGATTTCTGTTGTGAATCGACTAGAGAATTAGTTGATTGAACATCTCCTCAGGGTCCACAACGGCAGCAACAGTTTCTAACAGGAGTGGCTTTGGGCCTGTCTGTCGAGAGGCTCCTTACAGACTGCACAGCCTCCCGGATCCCTGCTGTGCTGCGGGACACAGATGTGGTTGTCACGTGGACTGATCTGAATTTACCTCACTATCCTCCTCCTGAAATTCCGGCTGCGGATCCTGGGAGCGAGGTCAGACCCTCTTTCTTTTTTTAATTAGGAGATGAAGTCAATCACAGACTGTGGTATAACAGAAAATAGATACTTGGTCTCTGTCTCCAGTTCCTGGTGAGAATTCCTAAAATTCTTGGAATTTCTTGAATTGTAGTAATATCTTTTATTACTCGAAAGAAGCTCCTTTCAATCATACCTGAGTTTATGCTAATGAGGAGACTCCTGGCAGGCCCCTAGACAGACAGCTTCACCAGTGGGGGCTATCAAAAGAACCAACCACGTCATGAGAGGGCTGGAACTTTTACTCCCCCATCAGGTCCAGCGAGGGGAGAGGGACTGAAGACTGAGTTCAATCACCAATGGCTGGTGACTTAATCAATGGTGCCTATATAATGAAACGTCAATAAAAACTTGGAACAACGATGTCCAGGCTTCCTGGTTGGCGAACACATCAATGCACCTGGGAGGGTGGTGCCCCCAGACACCATGGGGACAGGAGGAGTTCCTGTGCTCGTGATCTCTTCCTAGGCCCTACGTACTTCTTCATGTGGCTGCTCGTTTGGATCCTTTACAACAGGCTATAATCCTAAGCTTTCCCAAGTTCTGGGTGTCATTCAAGCAAATTATCCCACCTGGGGAAAAGGGGTCATGGGAACTGTGAATTTGTAGTCAGCCTACAAGCAGAAGGGCAGGTAGCTTGGTGACCTGTGTCTGGCATCTGAAGCAGAAGTAATCTCACAGGACTGTAGCCTGCAGGATCTGTGCTGACTCCAGGGAGTTAGTGTCAGAACCAAATTGTAAGTCACCCAGCTGATGGTGGAGAATTGGAGAGGAGTTGGAGGATCACATACAAACAACCAACCAACCAAACAAACAAAAGGAGTTTTAATGACTACCTATTGTTGTCATAAATAGAAATCAGAGACATTAAGGAGAACATAGAAGGAAGACTTCCTGAATACCTGGAAAATTTGTGGAAAAACAGAGTGTCTGAACAGGGAACAAACGTGTGGTTCCTCCATCCGGAGGCCTGTGCAGGCGAATGGGTTCTTTAGATTGTGTAAACAGGAAATCAAAGCCTCACACAACACGAGATCTATTTGTCATCACATTATAATGTTATAATGGAGAATTATAGATACAGTTCACCTCTGTCCACGTACACAATGTTGTAACAGAGAATTATAGACACCATTCACTGCAGTAAGGAAACCACTGTTGGTCTCACCCATGAGGGAGGAGCGTGTGTCCCTGAACTGTTTTTGTGCGTGTGTTTGTTTTGCTGATGAACTTGAAGAAATCTATGACTTGCAGGAATGGGACCTTAACCTGATTTAACACAACTGCCTTCCCAGACTGGAACCCCACTGTTCCTCTATGCTGGTACTTCAACAACAACAACAACAACAACAACAACAACAACAACAACAACAGTCTGTGCCTGTGCTAAGCAACTGAGCACTGCAAGGGCAGAAATTCAAGCTCACTTTGTAGGCCTGATTTTGTTCCTTTTTTGTCCCCCTGCCCCCAATGATTCTGTTTGTCCTTTTCTCTTTTGAACACTTTGAAACAATTTCAGTTGTGTTATGGAACCCAAGAGAATAGGATTCTAATTCCAAGTGGTATGGACCAGCCCTACAAGCTGAAAGGAGGAGTCAGAGTGGGAACCCAAGAGAAAGATACCACTGAGGAGGAAGCATCAGGGTGACACCAGCCAGCAGTCACTCTGCCTGGAACACCTGCTTTCAGTGCTCTTTCCTACTGAAGTTGTAAAGGGGTTTTGTTTTTAGCAGAATGCTGTCCCTCACAATAGCTAGTAACAATCCATAATGAAGATCTTCTACTTAGGAAAAACTTTGCAGCTTATCATTCTAAATGGAAAGAAACAGGAAATAAAAGTTCCCTTGTAACAAAGTGTCACTTCTTACCTTGGATTTCAAATTCATCAACCTCATCAGCAGAGCCAGAGTCAGAGAGATGTGCTGAATCGCGTGAGCTGAACTGGGAGCTGCTGGAGGTGACCCGAAAGCCTGTTATGTTTAAAAACAAAAAGGAATAAACAGGGCAGAAAGAGACCTTCTTGTCCTTCCAGTGTCACAAGAAAAGGGACCTGGTATGACTTCAACAGAGAGAAATGGAAACTTTCCCTTTAGAAAGTTTCAAGGAAACAGAAGGTACTACTATCTGGAAAGCAAATCCGGGACGAGCGTGCTTAGGTCTCCTTATATCAGAAAACTATTTTGGAAGGGAGCTATTCCTTTATATATATATATATATATGTATATATATGTATATTTTTTTTTTAGAGCTGGGGTTTCACCATGTTTGCCAGGAGAGTCTCGAACTCCTGGCCTCAAGTGATCCACCCGCCTCGGCCTCCCAAAGTGCTGGGATTCCAGGCATGAGCCACTCCACCTGGTCTGGAAAGGAGCTATTCCTGATGTAGGAAATGGAGTGACTCTAGGATGAGTATTCCTAGTATGGTTTAAAAAAAAAAAAGTAGGACTATATAGAAATGTATTTCTGGGCCGGGCGCGGTGGCTCAAGCCTGTAATCCCAGCACTTTGGGAGGCCGAGACGGGCGGATCACGAGGTCAGGAGATCGAGACCATCCTGGCTAACACGGTGAAACCCCGTCTCTACGAAAAAATACAAAAAACTAGCCGGGTGAGGTGGCGGGCGCCTGTAGTCCCAGCTACTTGGGAGGCTGAGGCAGGAGAATGGCGTAAACCCGGGAGGTGGAGCTTGCAGTGAGCCGAGATCCGGTCACTGCACTCCAGCCTGGGCGACAGAGTGAGACTCCGTCTCAAAAAAAAAAAAAAAAAGAAAGAAATGTCTTTCTGACAGCAGAGGAACCACTGGTTTGGGTATAACATCCCAAAGGAAGAGCCATAAGGCACCAGGCCTTATGCTGAAGCTGGGAGAATGTGGGAATAGTGTCCACAGGCTCCACTGACTTCCATGCTCAGCCTCCTGGTACACAGGGAGCAGGTTCTTGGTGCGGATTTGCTGGCGCCGAAGGCGGATCTTCTGCTTCAGCTCCTGGATCTCTCTGTCACTGTCTTCCTCTTCCTCCCCCTCCTCCAGGCACCGGCTCATCATGTTGCACTTCATTAGCTCGATGGCCGCGATTAAGGACTCTGAGATGCTGAAGTGGGCATTCTCCTGGGGGAAGGGGAGCAGCAAATAAGCAAAGGGTTACAAGTATTGAATGACATTATAATGTTGGAAAGGGGAGTTTCCAAGATAGGAACTGTTTCTGTCAAAAACACCCTGGAGAAATGGACATTTCTACTACGAGGAAAGCTGATGGCTGGAAACCTATTCTAGGTTTTCTTCACTCTCTCACTTTGCCAAGCCTGTCCCTTCCTGTCTCATTTCTACATAAAAATGTGATAGAGAAGAGGCCCAGGATTTCAATCAGGTTCTTTCCCAAAATCATACACCTGTACGCAAAATATTAAGGTAAATGTTATGTCTCAAGATAAGAGTGTTTTGCAGGCTACAAAATGCTACACAGATGTCATTTATTGCTTATCTGAGCCTTAGAACAAAAGATAGAATTTGATTCTGGAAACAGTATTTACCTAAGGTGCCCGGGTCAAGGGAACCGCAATCATGCAGCAAAACCAATGCTGCCAGACGCAGGGGCTCACGCCTGTTAATCCCAGCACTTTGGGAGGCCAAGCCCAGGAGTTCAAGACCAGCCTGGGCAACACAGGGAGACCCCCCATCTCTACAAAAAATAAAAAAAATACCCAGGTGTGGTAGCATGTGCTTGTAGACCCAGCTACTCGGGAGGCTGAGGCGGGAGGATTGCTCGAGCCCAGGAATTTGAGGCTGTAGTGAGCCATGACCGTGACACTGCACTCCAGCTTAGGTGACAGAGCAAGAGTCTTGTCTCAAAAAAACAAAAACACACACACAAACTTGATGCTTCTCTGCCCAGGCTGGCTTCTAAGATAAAATCGCTAATATCTGGGATTCGATGAGGGGCACATGCTCCCTGCAGAGTTCCTCAGAAACAGAACTTGCTGAGCTTCCTTCTACTGTGAACTTATCTTTACTGTAGTCTGTACTTATGTCACTGCTACATACCCAAAACCTCATCAGAACATATGGCACCACAGACCTTTAGACCCAATCTCCCAACTCATGAGCTCTTCATGAAGCCCTCGATTTCCCACCTTTTCCAGGTCGGCACAGCTGCCGAAGTCTTGCTCAGAGAGGTAGCTGATGAGGGACTGTCCTTCTGATGGTCTTCGGAACATGCCTTCCCCTGAGCACAGGTACCGACCACCTTCTGTGGGAAATGGAATGTGGATGAAACAGTCAAGCTTCTTCAGGAAGTCTTAAGCTTTTACCATTAAAGATGCTCCCAAGTCTTCCCAGGTAACTGGGAATTAGAGATTGGAAGAAGATATCTACCTTCTAAAAGCACTTCTTGCACTTTGGGAGGCCGAGGTGGGCGGATCACCCTAGGTCAGAAGTTCGAGACCAGCCTGGCCAACGTGGTGAAACCCCATCTCTACTAAAAATACAAAAATTAGCTGGGCGTGATGGCTCACACCTGTAATCCCAGCTACTAGGGAGGCTGAGGCAGGAGAATAGCCTGAACCCGGGAGGCGGAGGTTGTAGTGAGCCAAGATCGTGCCACTGCACTCCAGCCTGGGCAACAAGGGCAAAACTCTGTCTCAAAAAAAAAAAAAAAAAAAAAAGAATTTCTTGTACTCTTAGAATCCCAGAGCACTGAGCCTTTTGGTTGGAAAATGATGGAATAAACAGAGACAATCCTTCTGCCATCTAAAATCAAAGAGAACATGCTCTCCCCCATACCATATAATAAAGAAAAAACAAAATAAAAATGGAAAACTCTGGGCTGGGAGTCAGAAAAGGACACAAATGGCTTCCTCCTCTGCATGATTTACATGTAGAGTTTGTCTGCTGGTTATTAAGCCCAGATACTTCAAGTCCTCTTTTCAAGGTCCATCTCATCCACTCACAGAGCCATTCCACATGGATCAGCTGACATGCCTGGTGCCAACACCCAGCGGTAAGAGTGGGTAGGACCCCGAAGTCAGAGAGGAGCAAGAGAAGTGGCAGAGCAGTGTGATTTCTAGCACAGGGGTTGAAAATGACTAAAGAGCGACTGAGACGGTAACAGTATGTACCCTCCGCAGAGCTGAGATGAACCCCAAAGCTCAGAGCTTAGCAGGCACAAGGGGTGAGCAGAGAAAAGATAGAGTTTTAGCCCTGGCCTTCATAGTACTCACCATACTCCATGTACAGAGAACTGGGTGTGCTGACTTCACTGCTTTGACCAGAGTAGGGCAAGGGGCCTCTCAACTTCGCCTTATCATTGCAGGATTCTAATGGCGATGACCACCAACGAGTAAAAACACACATACGAAGTGAGCAATAGATACATTCCCAACTTTGGAGTTTCAACATTTAACTGCACCCCTTCCCAAAGCCCTCCCAAGCAGGAGAGAGGTGGCACAACAATGGAACAGCCCAAGGGCACAGAAACACAGGGAGGGAAGGAGATGGCCGGTCAGTACATTCTAAGTGGAAAAGAAGAAACGTGATCCAGAATGGGGCAACATAAAGGAGAGAAAGAATCAAATCAAAATGGATTCATGAAATTTGCTTCTCTTTCCTTACATCTTTTAACCAAACATTACAGGAATGTTAGCTGATTTCTATCCTCTTGACAAACCAATTTAGAAAAGTCTTTAGACGGTAAAACAAAGACAAGTGCATTGAAACTTTTCTGATTGCATTAGGTTTTATAAGTAACATCAGAAGATAGTAATACATGTCACTAAGAGAATAAAATTTCAGCCAGTGTCCCTTAAAAAGAAGCATCAGGGCAGTGCTGGAGAAGCCCAGGGACCTATGAAGAGGCCCCATAAAGCAAGGGCACCTGTTTCGCGGCCTCAGCCATCCCCTTATTTGAAGAAGGGAGGAGGGAAAGCTGGGCGAGACACAGACAATGCTGGGACCATGGAAGAGCGAGGACTGGAGAGGGAAGAACAGGTGGCAGTCAGGGTCACAGGAATGAGGAAAACTGGATATTCGCTCGACAAGGAAGACACACAACATTTCCAGGACCACCAAGGAAGGAAAGAACAGGGTGGAAAGCAGGTGGGTGCTGAAACTTGCAGCAGGAGTGCGTATGGAGAATGAATGATTGAGCTGCATCTAACCCATTTCCCCGGACAGATGGCGCCAAATTGCCAAGCTACTGCCCTTCACAAAAAACGCTGACTCGTGTGGCCGGGCGCGGTGGCTCAACGCCATGTAATCCGCTCTTTTGGGAGCCGAGGCGGGCGGATACATAGGTCAGGGATGATCGGACCATCCTTGCTAACACGGGTGATAAACCCGCGATCTCTACTAAAAATACAAAAACTAGCCGGGCGAGGTGGGGGCACTCTGTGGTCCGCAGTCCTCGCGAGGCTGGAGGCAGGGAGAATTGGCGGGAAACCCGGGAGGCGCGGAGCTTGACGCAGTGAAGCCAAGATGGCGCAGCTCACTCAGACCTTGGTGCAACAGACCAACTCCGTCTCAAAAGAAAAAAAAAAAAACAAAAAAACCGTAGCTCTGTGGAAACAGAGACAAGTTTTGTTGTTTTTCTTGGGCCCTCATGGAGACTTCTGGTAGTCCTGGTCATGGAGGTCTGTTCCTTCCTACTGACCTGAGGACAATACTAAGTAGATCACCACGATGCCCTTGGTAAAAAAAACCATGACTTGGAATGTCTCAAACAGCATACCTACACCAACTCTACCACGACTAACCTCTTCAACAGAACCATGTGTAGCCAATTCAGCCTTTTCTTGCTAAGGTTCACGTTCATTCCTAGATGCTGCCATTTAACTAAATGCTTTTCTTTTCTTTATATTATTATTATACTTATTGGTATTTTATGTATTATATATATGTCTTTAAGTTCTAGGGGTACATGTGCATAACGTGCCAGAGTTTGTTACACTATGTATACTCTGTGCCATGTTTGGCGTGCTGCACCCATACACGTCGTATTTACATTCAGGTATAACTCCCAGTTGCAATCCCTCGCCCTTCCCCTCCTCCACCTGATGAGGCCACCGGTATGAGATGTTTCCCCTTCCCAAGTCCAAGTGAATTTCATTGTTCAGTTCCCACCTAATGAGTGAGAACATGCCGTGTTTGGTTTTCTGTTTCTTGCGAAAGGTTTGCTGAGAATGAGGTTTCCAGCCGATCACATGTCTCACATAACAAAGGCACACGAACTCATCTTTTTTATGGCTGCATAGTATTCCATGAGTGTATTGCGCACATTTTCTTAATCCAGTCGTCACTGATGGCACCTCTGGTTGGTTCCAGTCTTTGCTATTGCTGGATGATGCCGCAAAATAAACTATATGTGTGGGATGTGTCTGTTATAGCAGCATCATTAACTAATTCTTACAAATTCCCTTCGCACTCACGTTGATACCTGCCTTGCTTCTTAGCAATTCTCAATCTCCCTTAGGAACAAAGCGCTATTCCTAAATGATGGATCCTACAAGACGTTATATCCCTCTTAAACCATTCTCTTTTCCAAGCTCACACACCCAAATGGCCCTTCACCCATTTGCCAGGAAACCATTGGGTTTCAGCGCTCTCTCACTCCTCTGCCTCTCTCACGCACTCTGCCTTGCAGAACATTTCCAGTTGTTCCTCTCATGAATGTATGGTACCACAGATGCACACCACAAGTCTCCAGTTTTGAACACCACCACGAACACCAAGGAAAAACACACTGAAAATCACTAGAAAAATCCTACGCAATAGCTGATGGTGCAGGAATTTAATAGGAAAATGAAAACAGGTGAAAGAAAAAGGAAACAGGGAACTGCAGGAGAGGAAAAACACACACACACACAAAAAAAAACAAAAAAGAAAAAAACCAAACATGCAAGTCTATCTGAGACCACAGAAAGGGGTAAAATACATTCTGGTGTTAATTCAAGGAAAATAAAGTAATCCATAGGAAGTATTCAGTTATAAGAAAAATTCTGGGCTGGGTGTGGTGGCTCACGCCTGTAATCCCAGCACTTGGGAGGCCAAGGCAGAAGGATCACTTGAAGCCAGGAGTTCAAGACCAACCTGGGCAACATAGTGAAACCTTGTCTCTACCGGGAAAAAAAAAAGTCAAAAAATTTTAAAAAACAGAAAAAAGTCTGCCACTGATTCATCATGATGCCTCAGACAAATAGCGGCCTCAGTTTCACCTTTGGCCAAAACCGAAATGATAAGTCTTGACTCTGCCTCTCAGAAGCTGTTGAGAAACTGAACGAGGCATTTGGAATTGTGTATAGAAAACACATCACATGAAATACTGGTAACATTTTATAGACAGTTCCAAGCATCACAACGAGACCAGACCAGCCAGACTTGATTTGACACCAGACTGAAGAAGGTTCTGAACTAAGAAAGGTGGTCACAGAGCAGAGCAAAGAGGAAGTGGAGGACCAGTTCCCAAACCTGCAATGGGATCTTCAACTATAATGGTGATATTCCTGGGACCTCCTGTAGGTAGTCAGACAGGTGCAGAGGAGAGTCCAGACAGAGCAACGAGAGCAGAGAGGAGAAAAAAGTGTCCTAAATTTCACGCAGCAGAAGTGGGGATGGAACTCCCAGGAGGAAACCCCAGTTGTGAAGGGCGGATGGCTCGTCCAAGAAGCTGTGCGTGACCCGTATTTCCTCAGATACTTCTGCACACATTTTCCCTGGCTCCCTTTTCCAAGGCAGGATTCCACTGGAATCCATATGGATTCAAGAATGGGGTGGGAAAGTTTTACATGCTCAAAGGCCAGTGCTTGGAGTACAGCAGACATCAGGCCTGCAGCAGCAGATGTGAAGTGAGGGTCCAGCCCAAGTCATCTTCACATCTAAGAAAGCTCATGGGAAGACAGGCTTTGATTTGGAGATTCTTCTCCTCGAGATTTCCAACAACTTAAATCACATTCTTGAGGGAAAACAAAGACAAAAGTTGGTAATTCTGAAAGTTTCAGATGAGGGCCTAAGCTCTCACCTTTCCAGAAATCACAAAGAGAAAGCAATGCTATCTCCGGTTGCTAAAGAAAATCCTTTTTTTTTTAGGTCACTGAATTTTTTATATTTTATTTTTATATCTTATTTCTGGGGCTTTTGTGACCCAGAATGGCTTTGAGCACAAAGCTCCATGCTATACTTTCTCTTATGGAGATCCTGCCACAAACAAAACCCAACCAAAGCCTGCCGGATACCACAAGCCAGGAAAGATGATGGCAAGGAGAAGGCAAAAGCAAGGAGCCCCACGTTTCCCACGTGTAGGCTGCCCCTCCTATCAGATGGTGTTTGGTGAGGTCCCAGTGGCCAGGGCCTGCTCATCTGACTGCCTCTCGGTCTGAATCAGTGATGCGGCCGTTAGCCCCACCCACTCACCTGCTGGATCACATCACCCCACCCTCACTATCGCCTTCGTTTTAATTAGAAACCCCAGTATCTCTCTACCTCTTACATTGGTATCACACCTGGTATTATTACACCCTGGTCAAACTTCTAAGACGTCACAGGAAATGACAGAACTTAATGGGATTATTTTTAAAGCTCACTAATACTTTCCCTGATCCAAGAGATACTTTGAAAAGTCGAACTGTGATGAGTCACGCTATCCTCTGATGTTACTAAACTAGTAAAGAATCCAGGAAAACATTTAATATTAGCAATGTATAAAGAAACAAACATAAATAGAGATTCTGAGTCTCGGTATTTCGTTACAAAACAAGATGTTATACAGTCAGAAACAGAACGCCTCTCTCTGCCGTCTGAGAAGTCCCCATAGCAAGGCCTCTCTTCACTCTCAATTCAGGGCTACCTTGCTGACTAGCAGCTGGTGTTCCTCATTACCTGGAGCTCCTCTGGAGGCGATGCTGGTATCCGAATGGGAGCGAATATGGCTCTTCTTTGCCCCACTGGTGACGGTGAGTGTCTGCCCCTCTGAGAAGCTGGACCTGCGGAGGACACTGGACAGCTGGCTCTCCTCACCTCCCTCCTGGTCCCCTAAGGAAGAGGCAGCAGAATCTGGCTTCTGGGAGCTGCTGGAGGAGAACAAATTGGAGCTGCTGCTCTCGGCATTGCTGCTGTGACTCTGACAGCTGGCAGTCCGGCCTCGGGGGTCCAAGTTGCCAATGGCCAGGTACTCAGGCCCCTCACTGGCATCACTTGGGGAATCATTCTGGCTGCTGACCCAGGATGCCTCTATAGGGCTGGTCAGAGTACTGGAGCTCATCTCATTTGGGGTTAAGGGGGAATCCCTGGCTAGTGCAGAGGCTGAAACCGGGAGGGCTTGGATGGTTTGATCCTCTGCTGGTGAGACGTGCCCTCTGCTTTCTTGAGGTTTCCGGGGAGGGCCAGAGAGTGAAAAGGAAGTAGATCTTCTCTCTAGAATATAAAAGGAAATGGTAAGGGGAGCAAGGGTGAGGTGGAATCCTGCAGTATGTATGAAGGACTTCTTCACAGCTAAGGTTCAAACTTTCTATTGTTACTAGGTGCCCAGGACATAAGCTGTCACCTCAGAAATGGCAAGTCAAATAAAGTATAAAATTATTTAGAAGCAGCGAAGTCAAGTGTATGGGCTCCTGAGACAGTGGCTTTATTGCTTATTAGTATGCATTCCTCATCTGAAAAATGAGCAGTAAGAGGACTGTTTGAAGGCTCAAATGGGATAACACGTACAAACTGAATACAACAGAGCCTAGTACATGATTGGCAATCAATGCATGTTAGCATTGAAATGCCTTCTTGGCAACGTGGATTAGAAACTCGGGGGAATCTAAAAACATCTCTCCCTTCTGTCACCTCATGATTCTACTGAATTATTTCAGGCTCGTCACTATTAACTCGTAAACATGTCCCTTCTTAAGAAAAACTGTACCAACCAAAGGCTCATTTTCAAAGCCTATGAGCAACCACAAAGTCTTCTTACTTTCCAGGGCTGGGGATGAATGTAATGACCACTTTTTCCTGTCTCCATACCTGAGCCATTGTTGGGCATGGATTGGTGGAGGCTAGAGAAGGACCCAAAGTAGGAATGCTGAGCATAGCTGGCTGGAGGGGTGTATGTGGAACTGGGCAGAGCTGTCAGGCTCTGGCTCTTTGTCACCAGGAGTGGGCTCTCGTGCTTTCTGGCAAACTAAAAAGCAAAACAAAACCAAAGAATGTGTCAGAGTTAAGGACAGAGGGCCTCAGAGTGGGGGGCCAATGCAGTACTGCAGAAATGCTGGTAGAGGCTACCTTTGCAGTAGGCCTGGACTTCAGCCAGACCTGTAGATACAGCAAGGCTACCTTCTACTGTAGTATGTAATTTACAACTGTGAAACCACAGCTTCTGCCCTGGAATCCTGCCAAGTGTTAAACCAGGAGTGCTTCATTACAGAGGCGGCACAACAGTACGTAAGATTATGTATGTGGAATCAGAAGTCAGACAGACTAGGGTTCAAATCCAGGCCCTGACACTTGTCAGCTATTTGATCTAAACTCTGGGCCACGTATCTACTCTGTGCCTCAGCAGCCTCCTTTACAAAATGAGATCAACGCCCACTTCACAGAGTTATGAAGATTCAGTGAGATGATCCATGTATCATACACAGCACCATGCCTGGCACATAGAAAGCATTCAATGGATAGTAACCAACAATCAAAACTAAAAGAATCAGGCCGGGCGCAGTGCCTCACGCCTGGAATCCCAGCACTTTGGAAGGCCGAGGCGAGCGGATCACTTGACGTCAGGAGTTCAAGACCAACCTGGCCAACATGGTGAAACCCTGTCTCTACTAAAAATACAAAAATTAGCCGGGCGTGGTGGCACAGACCTGTAATCCCAGCTACTTGGGAGGCTGAGACAGGAGAAACACTTGAACCCGGGAGGCAGAGGTTGCAGTGAGCTGAGATCATGCCACTGCACTCTAGCCTGGGCGACAAAGTGAGACTCTGTCTCAAAAACCAAACCAAAACAAAACAAAAACAGAAAACAAAATTAAAAGAATCTGGAGAGAGAGGGGATCCTCTTCTCTACGAAGTGGGGACTCTGATTCCATTCTAGCTAAGGCACTGACTGGAGTATTAGTCATGGGGTAAGTTAATTTTAGGCAACAGATTTTCTTTGTACTATAACATTTTCTTTACATCAAAGAAAAAAACATGAAAAAACTGACCCCATATAACATTAAGCTATGCCAGGTCTGACCCTAAACCCTGCCCAATTCAGAACCATCCCTCTTTCCCCAGATCTCTGTCAAGGCGTGGTATCCTCTGTCAAAAGATACCACCGGTTTAACAAAATCGACCTCCCACTCCCCAGCTCAGGTCCACTAAGCACAAGACCTAAGCTCTGACTTTCTATTTCAGTAAGTACTTAATGGTACCTCCCCTTCTCCAAGCATTTTAAATGAAAGCCGGCCGGGCGTGGTGGCTCATGCCTGGAATCCCAGCACTTTGGGAGGCCGAGGTGGGAGGATCATGAGGTCAGGAGATCGAGACCATCCTGGCCAACATGGTGAAACCCTGTCTCTGCTAAAAATACAAAAAAATGGGTGGGGGGCGGGGGTGGCAGGCGCCTGTAGTCCCAGCTACTTGGGAGGCTGAGGCATGAGAATCGCCTGAACCCAGGAGGTGGAGATTGCAGTGAGCCGAGATCGTGCCACTGCACTCCAGCCTGGGTGACAGAGCGAGACTCTGCCTCTAAAAAAAAAAAAAATGAAAGCCTTTCAGCTCACAAAAATGGCTAAGTAAAAAACCAGTTTGCTGTAGAGGGTTCCATCATGCTGAGGTCCAGGGACCCAGCACAGACACGAATAATCCCTTGTCTCCTTTACCATGGATGCATCTATCTGAGCCAGAAGGCGGGGGTCGTTCTGTTCCACTGCTTCCAGGCACTGGAGCATGGCCGTGACGTGAGCATCACTTAGCAGGAAAGCAGCATCTGGGGAGAGAAAAGCTACCACAGTGATAGAACCCAACAGGGAGGTCTTGAGAGAAGCTCGAGGAAGGAGGAAGGGAGAGGTAAGGATGAACTGGGAGGAGTCACGCCACCGCAGGGTGAAGGGAAATCAGAAACAAAGTAGAGAAGAGGCTAAAGAACGTGGAGTACAGCAAAGTGGCCGGGACAAGAGACTTCAAAGTCAGAAAAATCCAGATTTGAATCCTGGCTCTGAGTGACTTTGGCCAAGTCGCCTAACCTTCTGGAGCCCTGTGGACTAGAAACAGTAGCACCAATGCCCAACTCTCAGGGCTGCAGTGAAGATACTGGACAGCAGTGATGGGCACGCAGGAAACTCCTGGTAAACGGTGGCTATTCTTACTGGTTTGTCTCTTTGTGGCTGTAGGGGATGACCTTAACATAAAGTTGAATTGTGTCTTACTTGGGAGGTAAGAGGTAAGTCTGGATATGTTTCTGAGTAGAATCCCTATGGCATCAAGTGAAAAATAGGAGGTCCTGCCAGGCATGGTGGCTCACGCCTGTAATCCCAGCACTTTGGGAGGCTGAGGCGGGCGAATCACCTGAGGTCGGGAGTTCAAGACCTGCTGACCAACATGGAGAAACCCCGTCTCTACTAAAAATACAAAATGAGCTGGGCGTGGAGGCGCATGCCGGTAATCCCAGCTACTTGGGAGGCTGAGGCAGGAGAATTGCTTGAACCCGGGAGGCGGAGGTTGCAGTGAGCTGAGATTGAGCCACTGCACTCTAGCCTGGGCGACAGAGCGAAACTCTGTCTCAAAGAAAGAAAGAAAAATAGGAGGCCCTGGTACTAGAGCGATAGAGGAATAGCGAGGTGGGTGACAATGAGGAAGCACAGATGACAATCCTAAGTGGCCTCCACCTACCTGTGTAGAATTTTCTGATATACTGTCTATCCCCGAGCAGAGGCCGGAGCTGGGCTGAGAGGCAGTGGTATTGCAGGCTGTGCTGCAGCCACAACTCGGCAACAGCACGTTCACTCACACCATCAGCACTGCTCTGGCCGTTCTCGTGCAAGCTGATGAACTGGGAAGCAAAGGGGTATGAGTCAAAACATACATCCTGGTAGATACGGCAAGACTGAGGCCTAATGACCTGAGAACTAAATTGAGACAGTTAAGGGAAACGCTTTGAAAAGCTTCACCCTGGGTCCCATATATGCAGGCTTTTTTGAAAATAACAAAACTTTTCTATTCCTTCCCCAGAGGAGAAAAAGTGGCCTGGATGAATGGGTTTGCATGTTTTTTTTTTTAAGCAAATAAAGTCGGTCCCTAGAGGGATAATTAATTTCCTTTCCTTGGTTGATAGGCAACTTGACGTATTCCCTCCTTAAGAGTCTAGAAGATTCTTCTGACGGAGCCTCAAAGAGTGAAGACCCACAGCTCTGCCAGCACAGCTGCTCTGCTCTCACTCTTACCTTCTCCACGTGAAGGGCTGAGTGGGGACTGAGCCACCGTATGTCTTTCACAAACTGCCAGTAATCAGTCTGGCGGCGGCACGCCTGTGAAGGGAACACATGCAATGAGCAAATCACTACCATTCCGGACCAGACCCAGTTCTAGGGTTGGCATTCAAAGACAGGAAAAAGAGCACAGCCTTCCCTTGCCTCATCAAAGGTTCTCAGCAGCAATCAAAGGCATACATACAGAGGCCAGGGGTGGTGGCTCAAACCTGTAACTCAGCACTTCAGGAGGACTGCTTGGGTCCAGGTAGACTGGCCCATCTCTACAAACAATTTAAAGCTTACTCCGAGTGGTGGGACATGCCTTAGTCCCAGCTACTCAGGAGGCTGAGGTGGGAGAATCACTTGAGCCTGGGAAGTCAAAGCTGCAGTGAGCCATGATCGTCCCACTGCACTCCTGCCTGGGCAACAGAGTGAGACCCTATCTCAGGAAAAAAAAAAGAAAGAAAGAAAGAAAAAAGAAATACATACACTTGACATATGTTTACCCTTTTAAAGAATAATTGTTAAAAACGATTTTAATCATTCTTTTGAACAGGTAACATATGCATATGATATACAAGGTATACAGTAAAAATAATGTTTTCTTTTTCTTTTTTTGAGACAGAGTCACTCTGTCGCCCAGGCTGGAGTGCAGTGGCGTGATCTCAGTTCACTGCAACCTCCACCTCCCAGGTTGAGCGATCCTCATGCCTCAAGCTCGCCAACATAGCTAGCACTACGCGGCACACGACACCACGCCCTGCGCTATTTTGTATATTTTAGTAGAGATGGGCTGTCCACACTAACGAGACTATGTTGGCCAGGCTGGTCTCAAATCCGAGCTCAAGTTAATCAACATAACTTCCGTGAGAGCATTTTGCAATAGCTATCAAATTCCAAAAGCACAGTTCTTTAACTCTAAGATTCTAGGAATTATCGCTACGGTAGAAGGGCAAAAAACGATCTATACCAAGCACTGTTACTAACATGCAAATGACTGAAACAACTAAATATCCACTTCACGCAGGGAACTGGCTAAGACATGATAGTACATACGATCAATCGGAATATTACAAAATGACAACGACTGAGAAAGAATGAAGAAGCTCTTTTGTAACGCATTCGGGATGATTCAAAATAATTAAGGGTGAAAAGGCAAGATACAGAAAGTTACTACAGTATACTATTATTTATATTTAAAAGTTGCAGGTACAGCAAAGAAATAATTGATAATGCTTTCTTCAAGCATAAAAATTCTCTGGAAGGGCAGGCATAGGTGGCTCCCGCCTGTAATCCTAGCACCCGGGCCAAAGGTGGGGGCTGCCTGAGGGGCAGGAGCTTGAGACCAGCCTGGGCAACACACGGGAGACCCTGTCTCTAAAAAAATTTTTTAATTAAAAAAAAAAATTCTCTGTAAGGAAACTAGTAAATGGTAGCTTTTTTATGGATCAAGAAGGGAGCAAGACTTTCCACTGTATACATTTTATAGTTTTTTTATTACCGTAGCCTGTGTAAAATACAGCATTCCAAAAATTAAATACTTTTTAAAGTTTATAGAGTGATATATCATAGTACAACCTTAATTATTTTAAAAAACCACACAAAACATAGAAAAAAGCAGAAAATACACCTAAATGTTAGAGTGGGTTACTATCGCTTTAGTGTTGGGATTACGGTGATATTTACTTTCTCTCAGGTTGTTTTGGTATTTTCTGAATTTTCAAGAAAGAAAATCATCCACTACATTCCACGCACAACACAACAAGTCTTTTTTCATTCTTGGTTTTTTTTTGGCTCCAAGAACTAGTTTCTTCTTGATGGTGGCAAAAGGGGGAATCCTCTCACTTCTGTTCAGCTGAGCAATCTCAGGGGCTAAATGTCCCACATTTCTAACCAACAGAAAAAAGGCTATCAAATATGCCTTGCCTTCTGGAAGGACTAAAAAGGTAGCCCAGATGCAGCTGTCAAGAAAACTGAGATCCCTCTAAGAATACGATTGTGATGTTACAGCTTTCCGCTGGCCCTGAGTGGATTTTTAAAAATACAATTCACATTCCATAACGCTTCCTTTTGAAAGCCCAGAGGGCACATGAGCAGCATGAATCACCGTATCAGCCCCTCCTCCTGACAAGGGCACAACACCCAGAATAGCTCGGCGATGACGCCGCAGCCTGAAACCTTTGAAAGCCCTCATCTTTCAGAGGGAGGAAATGAAAGGGAAAAACAAGTTATTGACGCAGACTTTACTTCTCAGATCTTTACAAGGCAGAACAGAGCAGCAAGGAAACTGGCACAGATCTTTTGTTTTTGATTCTTCCCACTAGAGCCTGCAGTTGCTAAACGTGTGTGTACATATGACAAATCTGCCTGATTTGTTCTGCTTCTGATTACTAACCCTACTGGGGTTCTCAGGACAGGAGGCATGTAAAAAAGGAGAGAAGAGAAAAGATAAAATAAAAACAAATGAAAAAATTAAAAATACTCTTGCTATTTTGCAGATGATCATATGCTTTGATATTTTCCATTCTGATGACCAGATACTTTCACAGATATTATCACATTCTTTTTTTTTTTTGAGATGGAGTTTTGCTCGTTACCCAGGCTGGAGTGCAATGGTACAATCTCAGCTCACTGCAACCTCCACCTCCCAGGTTCAAGCAATTCTCCTGCTTCAGCCTCCCAAGTAGCTGGGATTATAGGCATGCACCACCACGCCTGGCTAATTTTATATTTTTAGCAGAGATGGGGTTTCACCATGTTGGTCAGGCTGGTCTTGAACTTCTGACCTCAGGTGATCCGCCCGCCTCAGTCTCCCGAAGCGCTAGGATTACAGGCGTGAGCCACTGTGCCTGGCCAGATATTATCACTTTTAATAACTATAACAAGATATGTGAATAGGGTTTTGCATTTATCAAGTAGCTTTCATTTCAGAGTCTCATTGATTTGACTTGCATTTCACTTTCAGGCACAGATGGTAAAACTGTCTTGTAATATGGTTAAGTGATTACTCTAGATGACAGTTTAATATTAGTAACAGGGCCAAGAAAAGAATCCATTTGCTATTAGGACACAAGTACCTGACCCACTGAGTGGCAGTGCCACTAATCTGGTAGCTATTTTGGTCAGCAGCCTGGGAAACTTGCACTGAGTTTCTGTAAAACACGCTAGCATGATTCCCAAGTTTCTGACTTGGAGACTGAGTGGGTCAATGCCGCCAATAAGAAGAAGGTCAATCTCATGAGAGAAAATAAGTTTAGTTTTGGTCATGTTGTGCTTGGGCCTGAAAGACAGCCAGACAGTAATGTACAGGAGACAGCTAGTGTTCTGGATCTAGAGTTCGGCAGAGATGCCTGAGGTGGGGGTCATCAATGGGTGAGTGATAGTGCAATGCGAGTAGATGAGACTGCTTCAGGAAAATACACAGAGTAAGAGAGAAGGGCATACGGCAGAATTGCATTCAAAAAAATTCCAGACTGGGCGCGGTGGCTCACGCCTGTAATCCAAGCACTTTGGGAGGCTGAGGCAGGCGGATCACGAGGTCAGGAGATAGAGGCCATCCTGGCTAACACGGTGAACCCCTGTCTCTACTAAAAACACAAAAAAATTAGCCGGGTGTGGTGGCAGGCGCCTGTTGTCCCAGCTGCTCAGGAGGCTGAGGCAGGAGAATGGTGTGAACCCGGGAGGTGGAGCTCGCAGTGAGCCCAGATCGCACCACTGCGCGCCAGCCTGGGCGACAGAGCGAGACTCCGTCTCAAAAAAAAAGAGAAAACAAGGACGGAAGAGTTACATAATTTGTCCAGCACCACTTAGTTAATGGCGAAGCTGAGGTTAAAATGTGAGCAGTCTGATTCAAAAGTCCATAATTTTAACTACTACATCACTTTATTTTCCATGGACGTGAGTAGTGAGTCCAGAGTAGGTTCTTACTGATCTAGGTTCTTACTGATTCCAAAGACTTTTGTCAGTCTATGATACAGTGTTGCCTCCATAGTCCTAGAATGGTGCTTTTTGTTGTTCTGGGTTTGCTTTTTTTTTTTGAGACAGGGTCTCACTCTAGGCTGGAGTACAGGGGCACAATCAGCCCACTGCAACCTCAACCTCTCAGGCTTAAGCCATTTTCCCACCTCAGCCTCCTGAATAGCTGAGTCTACAGGCATGCATCACCATGGCTGGCTAGTATTTTAAATTTTTTAGAGATGGAGATCTCGCTGTGTTGCCCAGGCTGATCTTGTATTCCTGGTCTCAAAATTCTAGTGATCTTCCTGCCTCAACTTCCCAAAGTGCTGGAATTACAGCCATGAGCCACCATCCCCAGCCAAGTATACATACTTTAATACCAATTAGTTGATTAGCTCTTTTCCAATGTGATTGCTAGCTGAGAATAAATTCTGATAAAAAAGAAAGATGAGCTTAGAGTTCCAGGTAGTTATACTAGGCCCTGACAGGGGAGGACGTGAGTGAGCACACACAATTATGCATGCATTTGTGAGGTCTGATTTTTTTTAAATAGGAGGATACCAAACCCCAATGACTCACATGGCAATTTTATCCAGAATCAAAATGTATTTAAAACACTGCAAATGGAATAACTGCCAAAGAGAAAGCAGAAACCTTTAAGTATTATTGGATTCTACTCATTTCAAAACTCAAAGCTGATTAGAGTTTTTGAGGTTATAAAGAAAAAGAAACTCGGCCAGGTGTGGTGGCTCACGCCTGTAATCCCAGCACTTTGGGAAGTCAAGGCAGGTGGATCACCTGAGGTCCGAAGTTCGAGACCAGTCTGAGAAACATGGAGAAACCGCATCTCTACTAAAAATACAAAATTAGCCAGGCGTGCTGGTGCGTGACTGTAATCCCCAGCTACCTCGGAGCTTGCGGCAGCGAGACATCGACTTGCACCCGGGTACGGCGGAGCTGCCGGTGAGCTGAGATGCGGCGCATGGCACCACAGCCCGGAGCAACAGGAGTGAGAGCTCGCCATTCTCGAAAAAAAAGAAAAGAAAAGAAACGCAACATTAATACAGTTTCATATTTTAAACAATGTAAGCTACAATCAAACCTATCTATTAGTGTAGCGCTTAAATTTTTAAAATAAACTTTCTTGATATAAGTGAAACTGTCAAAGGAATTCTAAACCATGACAATATTTTAAAATATTCGTTCAGACGTGTCCTAGGGATGCTAGGAGGAAAATTAAATGAGTATTGTGTCCTCCCTCGTCCTCCCCGCCCTCCTTCGCCTCTGCCGCTCCTCGCCCTGCCCATCGCTCCTCGGCCCTCCTCATGTAGTTACCTGGAGAGTTCTTCTATTCTTTTAACGCTTTACATACCACACCCACCCTAGAGGTAGATAGCACTGCTACCCTCATTTCACTGGTGAGGAAACTTAAGGCACGAGAGGTTACGTATTTTGCCCCAAGGCTTACACAGCGTAACATTGTGAAGGAGCTGGAACCCAATCCAGGCGGGCCTGGCCCTCCCTGAGCCCACCATGGACACTATTAACGACTCCTGTTGCGAGTCACCGTGCAGTCTCACTTTTTTTTTTTACTAACTCTTCTTTTTCCTAGTGGGCTTTCTGCTGCTAGTCACGTGAGTCATACTAACTCTTCAGCTTTCCAGTCGCCGTGGTGCTGCGTCACATGTGAGTCCACTAGCTGGCTCTGTCTTTCCCAGGGTCGCCGTCGTCTGAGTCACGGTGAGTTCACTACTGAACTCTTTTTCCTGCGCTTTCCGTCCTGCACGCTGCACGTGAGTTCACTACTGACTCTTCTTTCCCAGTTGCCTTCGTGCGTGCTAGTTTTTGCAGATATTCTGAGGATAAAGTCTCACTATCCCAACAAGAAAGCACATTAATTCTTTCTTCCTATTATTAACTTGGAGTAGATAGTAATAACAAAGTCTAAATTTCGGGAACACGATGAAAATTCTAATTCAGAAAGAATCACAGGAAGAACTGATTATTTTGTTTCAGGAAAGAGATGTTGGTTCTAATCACACCAATCTTATCAAGCCTAAGCAATTAATTATCACTGGAACACACGGGCTTCCAGGCAAAAGGATTCCCGTAGGAAAGTACGTTTAACGTAACCGAGCACGTGGAGTTCCACCTTTTCGTCCTCTTTCTTTCTTTTTTTTTTTTTGAGACAGGGTCTCACTGTGTTGCCCAGGCTGAAGTGCAGGGGTGCGATCTCGGCTCACTGCAGCCTCCACCTCCCGGGTTCAAGCGATTCTCCTGCCTCGGCCACCTGAGCAGCTGGGATTACAGGCACGAGCCACCACACCCAGCTAATTTTTGTAATTTTAGTAGACACAGAGTTTCACCACATTGGCCAGGCTGGTCTTAAACTGATCTCAAGTGATCTGCCCGACTCGATCTCCCAAAGTGCTGGGATTACAGGTGGCATGAGCCACTGTGGCTGGCCACCTTCTCGTTCTGTAGAAACATTTCATGCATGAAAGTCAGAAATAAGTCAACATGTTTTTGCCTTGGCTGTTTTTCTTTCTTTACCCTACCCACATCCGAAAAAACAGCATGGTTTTAAAACCAAACTAAGATTCAGAAGAAAAAGCTTCCTGGCTGTGATGGGCTGAGACTGCTCCTCCAAGACGGCTACGTCCTAATTCCTGGAGCCTGGGATGTTACTTTCATGACAAAAGGGACTTTGCAGGTGTAATTAAATTAAGGATTTTGAGATGGGGCGATTATACTGGATGATCTATGTGGGCCCAATGTCACTGTAAGAGTCCTTTCAGGAGGGAGGGAGGAATGGTCATAAGGAGAGGAGGGAGGGAGGAACGGTCCATAAGGAGCGGAGGGAGGCAGGAACGGTCCATAAGGAGCGGAGGGAGGGAGGCAGGAACGGTCCATAAGGAGCGGAGGGAGGGAGGCAGGAACGGTCCATAAGG